CTCAAACCCGGGTCAATCCAACCCGGCTAGCCGGCCGGTTTGCGATCGAACCCGGTCCGACCTCTGGTCCGGTCCGGTTTTCAAAACATTGCGTGTAACTATGGAAGATCAAAAACTTGGCTATTTCTTTCATGAAACATTTCAGCTCTGCAAACCGAAAGTTCATGTTCCACCGAGCTCAACTAAGTACTAATGTCACGACGTGATAATAGACATAACATATGAAATTATATATAGGGACTATAAATCATAAGAAATCTTATCTTTAATGATGAAGAATCAAAAATCGCATTGAACTTTTGTAGCCATCATTAAGATGGGCTTGAAGTTGGTGCCAACATAAGTATAAGAAATGCCTATTAGGTAGGGCTACATGTTTCCTTCACAAAATAACAGTAGAAAAAGAATCTGAGAGATACGGTGAGTAGAGAAGATAAAAGATTAGCTGAGAGGCTCGATAGACGAAGCGTAGGAAAGTAGTAAAATGTTCGAGTAGCGCGGTTTCTGACAAAAAGAAATTGAGAAAAAACAAAAGATTCGCTTTAATACCTTGTAGAGAAATGTTTAAAATTTTGAATTCGAATTATTTATAAGCTATAGACATGTACAAGTTATATAACTAGAAGTTGTCTATTCTTAGTGCAATAAGAAAAGTAATTTGGTAAACTTTCCTATACAAAGTAATGTTCTATGAGTGATATCTCAATAACCAACCATACAATTAAGAGTGATCAAATAGTTAAAATCAAACCGCTATTTTAATTTTGGAGGTATATTTGCCCATGCATAAAAGTTTAATTTGATCAAAAAGAAATTGTATATACACACATGACATATAAAATCTATTGCTTGAAAATGAATCCTAAGAATTGAATCATGAGAAAATCTGGTTGAGTTGGTAGCTTCTTTGTAGGTTTCACGTGATTTTGAACCACTTTTAACATTGTTAGAGACGGAATTCTCTTTAACTTAGATTTAAAAACAAGTCATATTTTTTTAATGTTCTTTTCTTCTTACGACCATTCATATTTACATTTATCTGC